ACGCGGCCTATTTCCTGACTTCTCTCCCCCCCTACAATCAACATGTGGAGCTTGAAGTAAAATAGGCAAATCTAGGGACATGGGCTATAGTGGTTTTCCTATTTCTAACCCCCCCCCCCCCACGTCCTAAAACCCGCATACTTTTTAGGAAATCGTATTAGGGGACCCCCCCCCCCTAAAACCAAGAGATAGCGGGGGGCAATGTTTCCTTACTCGCGTAATCGCAGTCTCATGGGGCCATACCAGGAAATGTTCGCTAAATGTTCCCGGAACACTCTTAAAAGTACACTTGACTTGCCTGGCCAAACTCCCTTGCAACAAAAGTGCAAACGAAAGTACGGTGTAATCCTGAAGCCGACTCTTCAGTGCTGCCAAGCGGGTCGCTAAAACTGCTAGTAGTCTTGGGCCAGTCGAGAAAATTTCCAAACCATCTTTCATACCATAATATCTGACTTCTAGAGAGCTTACAGCTAGGGCCCTAGAATTGAAACTTCTCCTGTGGCCATCAGCAATGAGGGGTTGCTGCAATGATCGTTTTTTCTGGACAGTCCTGTTCGAAGCTGAAAAGTCTCGGATATCACTGCTATTACTGGTGTTGCTGATGACTAACATCACGAATGATAAATACAAGTTTTACGACTAGTATCTTTGGCCATATCTGGTTGGTTGGGCCATAAACTTAGACAATCCCCGTTGAGGGCTTACCGGGTCTACGGTACGAAGATCACCCGGGCACGCAAGTGCGACAACAAACCTGAATCCTAACTCGTGAACCTGAAACCCTAATCCTGGGGCCTAACCCCCAACCCACTAAAGCCTACTGCCTCGAATCCCTGTTTCCTCTCCACTTTTTGCACCTGAACATCGAAAACATTTGGGCCTCGTTGTTGGAGTTGGGAGCTTAGGAGCCCAAATAGCTTTTAGCTCTAAATCCCACCAAGCCTGACATTTTCGCCCAAAACGAAAAACTTCAATAGCCGGAAACAAAACCGAAAAGAAAACATGCTGAACTCAAAGCCCCTTGCGTGTCGGGTTCACCTCGTGTTGGGGTGTATTGGCACCCTTCAAGCGGCTCTGGGGCGATAACACAATGACCGTTCTCAGTGATGTCCGGCCTTTCCCTCAGCGAGCTCCTGTTCGTGTGGCGATGGGATTCCAGCATCTTTGGCCTTCCGATTCATCGCCTGCCGCACACCCTCAACCCGAAAACCAGCGCTTTGACATTCATTAAGTTAAGGGTAGCGTAGGAGGTGTTTCCGCTCGCGAAAGTGCAGGCGGGTGTGGACACCGGAGCAGTCTGGTTTATGGATTGCAGTTGGCTAGAATTCATACGGGTGCCTTTGTTTAAGGGGTTTAGAAGAGACCTTAACTTACCTCAACCCCCAAAGAAGGGAATAGGCACTGCTGGGCATCCTCGTTTAGGATGTTGACGCGGAGAGTTGAGGGGACGTCTTGCTGAAAGGGCTTTTCGCAGTCCAGCCGCAGTCACAAGCATTGTGACATCTGTGAGATACTCTTAGGAGACAGGGTCAGTCAATGGGCTAAGCCCAAAGATGTGAAGAAGATTCTGCAGGGTCACTGCCCGAACTACCCACCAGTACCCACGGTAAGGCCCAAATCAGGCTCAATTGGGTGGGTGGGTGGGAAGGGCACTTGTACAGGCTAAGCGGTCGCCCTGGGCCTGGTCCCCACCCGTCGCATCCAGGCCTCGCAAAGGAAATACATAGTTGCTTCTCAAGCAATCAGCGAATCTAACCAGAAGTTACTATTCCAAAAAAAAGGATGGCTGTTGTTCATGTCTGTCACTGGACATATGTGGCTGGAGAGTACCCCGACTGCAACAGACACTGCGCTAATGCCTTGCACTATGACCTTCTATCCCACTTTCATGCCTTAGGCGAGTCGCTGGAAAGAAAGAGGAAATTCACTGCGCAGGGGTACTGGCTCTACCATCAGCCCCTCACCATAGCAACACAGGCATTGAAAACGTCCTGAGGTTCGTTCTTCTGAACTGCAAGTTCGAGGCTTCAAATGAAATTACCTTGCTCTCGGGGGCTTGCGGGTGTAGGGAGGGGTCTAAACTTGCAGGCAAGCCACTCTCCCGGCGGGCGTCCGCTTCCCTTGGCGGAGGTGGGGTGTAAGCGCACAAAGGTGAACTGGAAAGAAGCGTCAGGTATCCTTTCTGTTCGAGCCCATTGTGGTCAAAACTGCGCGCCATCCACGTGGATCTGGATTTTCTACGGTTTCGTGTCGGCGTGAACCATAACCCCGAGCATGTGTCAGCCGAACTCTAAAGATTCTGAATGCCTCTCCCACGCACCCCCACGAACCATGTAAGCCCCAAGCCTACATTTTGCAGGCTTTCAGTCAGGGTTTGCATGCGTAGGGATTTCAGGCGTTTAGGGCTAAGGCCCTGAACTCGCAACCTCCAGCATGGCTGACTCTGCCAGGGCGCCCCCCAGTCCTGAAGCGAGCCTCATGGCTGTGCAAGTTGACCTTGGTGAGTCTGGGGTTTAGTTTGGGTTGCGGGACAATTTCCAAGACCAGGGTTTAGGGTGTTCATCATGAACGTAGTTTATGGGAGTTTAGGGCTTGGGGTTTCAAGTTTTAGGCCTGCGCTTCCCCAGAAAACCAGAATAGAAGAGGATGTTGTTCTTGTTTTGCGATTGTGTGTGTGTGTGTTGGCTTGATAGGTTTCACTCGGGAACCAAGCCCCAAATACAGAGAGAAAGGGTTGTGCTGAAAACTGACCCGAAGAGGCTACTTTTCCCCTCAAGCGTTCCATCGGGGCTCTCATGGTGAACTTTGAACAACAGGATGGATTTCACGGCTTCTGCCTTGCAAAGAAGGCAACAGCGACTTTGTGGAGACCTGTCTAGTACACAGACACCCCTGAATTTGTACTCTGAGCGGCTACATCTGGCAGGACACCCTGCGCCATTTCCACAGCCTGCAGGGCAAGATTCGTGCTTAGAAAGGCCCATTTGGAGGGTACGGCTAGCTGCTAGCTGTTACCAGCAACGCCAAAGAGGTCACCCCAATCATCCACTCACCAGCAATGTTGACTTGGCATTCAACCCCCCCCCCCCCCGGAAGCAACAAAAAACCGGAACTCAATTACAAGCCCCCCGCCCGGGAAGACTCCAATGCTGAATCGAGCATTGAAGTTGAACAAGCTGACGCAAAAAAACAAGCATGTGCATGCGTACGTGTGTTCGCCACATGCACTTGTTGAGAGGCAGAGCGCGCATGCATGCGAATGAGAAAGCCCAACTCCATGGGACACAACACATAGGGCGGCGGGCTCCTGTTACAAGATCCCTCTACAAGTAAATATTTATTTGGACATGCTGAAGCCTTTCATAATGAACTATATGGTTCTGCAACACTGGCCCGTTCAACAACCTGAGCATGGACATGCATGGACCGGCACCCTTACTAATCGTGCCTTCCTTGCGGCTTCCTCCGCAATGTCCTGGGCTTTGTCCGCCTGCACGTTCCACTTTGGTCTGCAAGCTCATGCTCATGGTCTCACGGCTGTCCCCCGCAAATTGTTTGTCCAGAAAGTGCACGGCACAGCTCCGGCGCTAGCCGTGAAAGTTAACAAAAGTCCGCACTTCTCACCTCCTGCCCTGCCAGCATTGCGCGATCGGCATGCCAGCCTCAGCAGGCAGGGATATCATCCTTTGTGTTCCCCAAAACCCAACCACAATCCATCTTCGGAGCCTTGAGGCTCATGGTCGTACCTTAGACCATATAGCCTTGTAAGCCTTCAATTCAACATCCGAGACCATGAGCCTTAGGACCCCCAAAAATCCTCAACTCCAAACACGCCCTTCAAGCCACATTAAGCATCAAAAGCCCTGCCGACAAAGACACGCACTCGGTTGATCCAGTGCTGGAGGGCTTCGTCCCCCACGGCCGGGAGACGTGTTGGCACCTGGATTTGAAGTGTCAGGTTTGCAGTGTAAAGCCCAAGGCTTTTCATAGGGCTTTGGGTTTAGGTACGGGGGTGGGTGTTGGGCCTTGGGTTTTACTCGATTAGAACTAGGACGTGGGGGAGCTGAAGACTCCAGCGTTGACGGTGCTTGGCAGGGGGAGTCTGAACCGCGGTGAATCCTCAACCTATTGAGTTTCCTGGGGCACAGAGCCCACCTGTGTTGGTGCGCAGTTCGGGTTCAGGATTTAGAGTTTGTAGAACCCAACGAAGGCTCGAGGGGTATCCCGTCCTCCCAAAGAAAGTTCTGACAAAATGATGCCCCAAACCCTAAACCTGGCACCCACAAAAATGTTGAGGCTCCAGCGTGCTCTACCATCAGCGGGTCCTGGCGAGCTTTGACAGGTTTGTGTTCTATTAAGCTGCATTCTTGGGTAGACGCCAAGAACCAGCTAAAGGAAGATGCCCGAGATAGGAAGCACATGCCCCAAAGCCTCCTACATCCTATTGCTTTGAAGCCACTCAGGTGTCCAGCAGGTGGTCTGGAGGCTTTCGCCAGATGTTGTCCATGGAGTTTGGGTCTGAGGGGTGGCGCATCGCCATGGCGCCGGGCGACGAAAGGATGATCTTCTCAAGGCCCGCGGCTTCTGTGAACAAGTTTGGTTTACGAATCTATGGGAAACTCAAGACGGCTCTGAACGGCAGAGGCCAAGCATAGGGCTCAGGGTCGAAGCGAGTCTCCGCGGACCAAATTTGCTTTAAGGCTGAGTTGCCATGAAGGCAGAGTAGTCAATAGGGGTTTTGAGAGTTGAGAGCATGACAAAACATGACAAAGACCAAGAAAGGCTGCGGATGGCTTGCACTTGCCATCGACACCGACACGCTAAAGCCGCGAAGAGGGAGGAGGGTGGCAATAGCTACAGTATACTGGTCTCTTGCGATGTCCCTCACGGAGGAATGGTGGCTCTTTCGGTATTGGTTCAGATGTAGACTTTTCTTGCTCGCGATGGCTCCCGCCGGCTCGATGACCAGCCATAGAACGCACACCCTAAACCCCCAAACCCTAAACCCAGGGCTTCATCCTCAGGTTGGCACCGATGGGCAAGTGATCCGAGGGGTGATCCTTGTTTGGGCAAGGGGGGCACTCCTCCGGCAATGGCAGCACATCCACAACCTCTATTGCATCGCCCACAAAGATGTAGTCCATGGTGGCGGTGAAAGTGGAAGTCCTCGAGGTGAAGGAAGGTTCCCTGCCAAGCTTCACGACATAAGCACTCTGCATACAGAACGGAGCCTTCAGATCAAACAATGCCCAACCATGCTGTGCGGGATGCTCCGGATGCCCTGTGGCCAAGAGCCCTGTTGTGAGCAGCTCATAGCCTGCAACGTCGTCGTATTTGCTGCTCGAGCTGCCAGAGCACGACAGGGTGTTGAAGTCACCACAAAGCACCACGCGCCTTGTATCCAAGCCTCGGGAACGCGCAAAGTCATCAATCGCTCGCAACATCAGCATGATTTGAACGGGTTTGCAAGAGATGGGATATTGTGGATCGTCGGTGTACCACCAGACAGCATGTGCACAAGCAATCAGCAAGTCCTTTGGTGGCGAGCCTCGTTGCTTTAGCCGTAGTCGACAGATCATCACACTGTCCGGCCTTGCAAGCAACCTCATTGAGAGATTGTGCGTGTCCGGGCGCTGCCGCTCATCTTCCTGAAGCAAGTCCCTGGCAAACCTGTGGGAAGCCTCCACCACCTCGAACTTCGAATGCCAGACAAAGATGGCGATTCCAAGCTGACTTGATTCCCAGCGCTCGTCATAAGTCCACTCTGGCAAGTGCCGAAGCGCGTGTAAGCCAATATATCCCCGAGCAGCAAGTCGCGCATTCAGCGAGGCAAACATGTCCTGTGTAACCTCCTGGCAACATACCACATCAGCATCGAGTGCACTTAACTCATGCTCGAGTACTTGTAGCCTCTGAACCCAAGGGAAGTCTGCCATTTTGGCTGGCCATGAATCATCCCAATACCACGAATGGTGACCCAAGATGTTGTAGGAGACCACCTTGAATCCGCTGGACCCAGCCATGGCGCACACTTCTTCGATGAGAGCGAGTGGGAAGAACAAGACCACGGCTACTGCATTCTGCGGTCATCAAGATGACTGGCAAGCTTCAAGCCATCAATTGCGCGATATCGGAGGAATCGCATGAATCGGAGGAATCGGAAGCAGCCAGCGAGGTTGAGTAAGGCCGCCGCTCAAGTTATGAAGGTTTCAAAGGGAGAGGTCCTTGAGTTAGTTGGTGGGGTGGGCAGAGGGGGAGAGGAGGTGTGCGGGAGCTTCTTTCATCCTGCCCTCTTCGCAGCTGTTTGTCCGACCTGCTTTGGCCAAGTGAATTCGTGGCAATCTATGGTCGGCTGTCATGCTGCGCCATGCCTTTGGCAGTGCGCCACGCAAGAGTTGTGAGACATCAGATCCTAAGCTAGAGCAATTATCTTTGTGCTATGCAGGGGTCGGAGAGATGCAGTCGCAGGACACCTGTTGAAAGCCCAGGCTCGTCTACATCAGCATAAAGAAGCATATGGTGAATCCCTTCCCCCTGGCTGTTTCGCACCAAACGGTGATTTGAAAACTTGTCTTGCAAAATATGCTGGTTCCGCACGCGCTTCTTGTAACCTTCGTTCATGCTGAGAGTGTGACAACAGCATGCAGCATGCACTGACTCACATTTCTAGCACAGATTGCCAAGCCATCAACCACTAACAAAGAGTCAACGACGCAGCATTGATGCGAGGCACATCCGTGCCTACCAAGGTTCTGCTTCCAGTAGGCACTGCCTGTACCCAGAGCAGCACTGGACTAACGGGTTTGTCGGTAAAGTTGACCCGTCTAGCCTTGAACCTCTTCAGCCTTCTGAAGCTCCGAGCCCGAATTATAAAGCTTGAAGTCATGCTACGAAAATTGTCTTCTTCAAGGCAGTGGTTCCGAATCATTCTAAGAATCGGACGGTTTCTTGGGTTGAGCATGTATCACAGACTCGCCATGCATGTCCTCTGAGTTTTGTTCCCCCTCTTCTTTCCATGCCGCTTTCGCCAAGCGCGAGCCCTGACCCCGAGGCCCGAAGCCTTCTTGAAGGTTCATGGGTAATTAGGGATAAGTGGGCTTAGAAGTAGGATGAGCATGGCATGGTAGCCAGTCACAGCCATGATTGGGATACTTCACACCCTCCCTAGAACTACCTATGAACCTCCGATGGTTCGCTCTCTTGCTCTCGACTTCTCCCATAGTTCTGGGTCCAGCGCTTGTGGCTCAGAGCTGCGGTGTTTGGGGTTTGTGGTTTAAGGGCCTGGGCTTACAGGTTAAGGTCGCGAAGTGTAGAGGACTTTTTGGTGGATACGCTTCAGGAACTGTCTGGGAGCTGCCAGCGTTAGACTTCAACACCCCACCCCACGAACGTCCAGGGCTGTTGTGGAAGCCGTACACCCTAAGAAGATTTAAAGCAAACGACTCGTCCTAAGCCCCAGCCCCGACCGTATAAACCCTGCCCCCAGAAAACCCTAGGTCCAGAACCCTAAACCTAAATACAGCCCAACACCATCACTACGCCCACCGACCATGTCATGAAAAATGCTCCTGAAGCCAACAAGTGAAGCAACAAAAAGAAGCACCACTGGGCTTCCTAACGCCTACACTTGGACCTCTCCATCAACAAGTTAACTAGTGGCTGTTAAACCCCTTTAAACCCTAAGCCCTGTAAACCCTAAGCCTTCAACCTTAAACCCTAAACCCTAAAACCCCAAGCCTTCAACCTTAACTCCCAAACCCTAAACCCGGTAAGCCCTAAGCCTTCAACCTTAACCCTAAACTTAAGCCCTGAACCCTACCCTAAACTTAAGCCCTGAACCCTACACACCATAAACCCCCTAAACCCCCCGAACCGGCAACCCTAACCCAGAAGTACGAACTCTGATCCTGGCCTCTGGGGACCACCGAGTTTCTCTCGCCTCTTGATGCGCGCCTGGGCATGGGGGGCCAGCCGATAAACGCTGCATAAACCCTAAGGCCCTAAGCCCTCACAAAGAAGTGGGCTTTGGGGGCTTGGGGGGGTTTGGGGGTTTGGGGGTTTGGGGGGCTTTGGGGGTTGCGGGGGGTTGTGGGGGGGGTTGTGGGGGGTTGTGGGGGGTTGGGGGGGGTTGGGGGGGTTGGGGGGGGTTGGGGGGGTTGGGAGTTGGGGCTTGGGGGCTTTGAGCCTAGGCTTGTCCATCACTGGCACTGACATGGCATTGACAGAAATGCCTGACAGCCCCTCAAAACCAAAACCCCCCGAATGTCATCGTCAGATCCGTGCATAACTTCTACGTAAATCAACCCTGCACCTTACGTCCCAAAGCAAACGCTGACTTCCGGAACAGAAAAGTTTATGGCATGTTTCGTTTAGGGTCTATAATGGTAGCTTTAGGGTCATGCTGACCTTTTCTCCGACCTATCTGAAAACCCAAAGTTGTCTTGAACATGAGCCATGGCTCGAAGAAGGCACTGCCCTCCGTCGCTAAACCCTAGTCTCCACTAAAACCCTGAGCTGCCTACTAAGTGTAGATTCGCCGTCACTGCTTCAGGGGAAGAAATTCACTACAACTCCACGAGCATCCCCCCCCAAGGGCCTGAAACCCAAAACCCCACACTCGGTGTCCCCACAGCCAGCATCTTGTTGTGGCGCCGAAGCGTGGAGGGCGACGAGTCGATTTTCTGGCACTTTGCATTTCGGAGGGTGTTTTCGGTTGGCATCTTCGTTTTCGAGGCTCAAGGCATTTGGGAGTTTTGGGGAACGTCAGAGTTGCTTTGCTTGCGGGTCCGTTCGCTAGCCAAGCCCCGAATGGATATCATTCCTGTGAAGGGCACGAGAGCATGCGGCAAAAGACCGAACATGAGTGACGTTTAACATCGTTCACGTCGAAACCCCTTGCGACGAAACTAAAGAAGGACCGGGGGGGGGGGGGGGGAAAGGGGCTGGGATGCAGCCGGCACACGCATCCCAAACTGCACACACCAAGCCCTACAACCCTAGACCCCGAAACTTTTGAACCCTTGCCTTTACTACTCCCCGAAACCCAAACCACCCCCAGACATCCGAGAGCCGAACGCTCGAGTCCACCACATCGCCGAAGGTTTCGAAGGGCAGCAATGGGCGGTCTTGTTTGTGAAAGGGCCGCCTCTCTTAACGAAAGTTTGGGGTTGGTATCTTCCTAGACCCCGAGGCCCTAAGCCCTGAACCCTCGAACCCCTAAAGCCCAAAAACCCTAAACCTGCTGTTGGCATGCAGAAGACTGGTGCAATGGGAGTTCCGCCCAAGGTTGCTTCCAGGATCCATGGAATTGGGGTTTAGAGTTTAGAGTTCATCGGGGCTTGGAGACCTGGGGGCGTCGCCAAGAGCTCGGACTCCATGGGGGGGGGGGGGGGGGGGGGGGGGGGTTCCTTATGATAAGGGAATCCTACTAGTTTGTGAGGGTCTATATTAGGCCCCCCCCCCCCCTTATTTCGTAAGCCCCCATATATGGCAAGGACGGCCCTGCCTCGGTTCTGGTGTGTCACACTTCTTGCCGCTGGTACTTCTTGACGATTTTTCATACTCTGAGTATTCCTGATTATTATTGTTTGCTAGTAGCGATTTTTCTCACCACCGATGATGAACCTTACTACTCCTCTTTCCGTTTGTACTATTGCCCTAGCCCCGCATCTGAAGCGCTATGCCTGAAGCACAGCCTTAACCCTAAACTCATCGTGTCGGATTTCGGGATCAGGGTTCATGGCTCTAGGGGTTCAGGGGTGCAGCTTCAGGATTTGCATCGAAACCCCATGTACAATTGAACTTTGTGAAAGTGGTAACCACGCCTATACCGAGCCGGTGGTGTCCAGTAGTCCTGGGAAGGGTCTTAGGGGTTGTCGGCTTTAGAGGTTTTGGGGTTTAGGGCTTCAAGTTGCATCCAGCTAGCTTTCCAAAATGTTCGTCCCCCAGGGCATTCAAACATGTGTGAAAGGGTTCCGTCAGCTCCGCAACGCGGCAGGGCTTTAGGGTGTAGGATCACAGGGCTGTTGAGGAGATTAGTTCTCCAACAGCATAAGTTCAACCATTGGCAAAGCAAGTGAGCACTTCGCGCGGCACCCGTTGGAACATGGCAATCTGGAAGCAAGCCCTGCCCAGGCGTCAAATCCAGAACCAATCCTCATGCCTAGGCCGTTGATTTTGGAAGCTGAATGAGCCGAGCGGCCTGCCAGGCGACAACCTGAGATGACAGGGGCGGCAAGAATCTCTACGTAGGGGGGGAAAGGAGTTCTAGCGCAGGGCGGGGCCCCCGGTTCATTGATTCATGGGTAGTTTTAGGGTTCACAAATGGCAGAGTCATAGTTGCCTGGCATAGACTCCTAGACTTCTCTTGGGAGTACTTGTAACCCTACTTATAGAACCTCTGGGCATCTACGGTTTAGGGCCTCTGGAGGTGGTTTGTTCCATCGCTTCCACGACGAAACGTCTTCTGGCCTGGAGCTACTGTACGGGCCTGGGTTCAGTCCGTTCACGCTGACAAAGGAGCCCACCAAAACACGTAAAACCGGTACAGTACCGCTAGGTTTCCAAGGAGAATGTTTACGGGACCGCAGCTCACCTTCCGGCCTAAAGCTTGAGACCTTCAGGCAACGAGTCGGTTTCAGGATCTGCTAGGATCTAGAGCAAATTCAGGGAAAGACCTCTAGCTTTGAGGGAGATGGGCTCATGGTCAGAGATGAGGGCCCAAGCCCTAAAACCCAAAATGCTCTGCAACCTCAAAAACCCTGCTCTAAACGCCAAAGCCCCCTGTCAGCCCCAAATCCCATATGCCAAACCCAATAAGGTCCTTCTTGGTTCCCCCAATCCTAGCTACCACAAGACTTTCTTCTCAAAAGGGGTGGGGGTGTTGGGAGTAAGCAAACTCCAAAAGCCTTGGAAAGAAAAACCTGATATCGAGGCGCCTCCCCAGTGAGCAAATCGCGCATCGACCCTCCGGGAGAGTGCCGTTGTGGAAGCGTCATGGGACTGCCTCTGACAACTTCAGCATTTAGGGTTTAGGGCTTCGGCCTTCGGGTTCAGGGTCCCCGTTTATAGGCATTTTAGGGCTTAAGCTTAGGGTCTAAGGCTTAGGGCTTATCAGGGTTTAGGGTTTTTAGGCTTTGGGGTCTAATAGGGCTCGGGCGTAGAGCCTTTAAGGGTTGTCGGTTTGGGGTTGTTTGGTTTTGGGGTCCGTTTCTTGAACTCCAAACCATGGCCCGAAATCGGTTATTCTACACTACACCACAGCCACCCTAAACCTTGGAACCCCGCAACCTAAATGCTGAATCTGAAACGTATTGGTTTTGTTCACCCCGTGGCTGGGTGCTCCGAAATCTGGAGGGCGCATTCTTAACCTCGGCGCATCTTTGAAGCAAGCCAAAAGCCTATCCCCACATTCGGAATCTGAGCCCTCAGGTTAATAGCTGTCTTGGCTTGCATTTGCTCTGCGCAAGCTGGAAACCTCAGAGACACCTCCAGATTAAGAATCTGAGCCCTAAGACTCTCATACTCAGAGAACCGTTAGGGTTAAGAAGGGCTCTACAGAATTCTACAGAAATCAATGTTCTATGTGAAAGAATGTCTTGGGGCTAGCGGCGACAGCCTTAGAAACCACTCTCTAGTTAAGAATCTGAGCCCCCGGGCCAACGCACATTCTTTACCGGCGCATGTAACACCATAAACCTGCATTAAAATACAAAGCAACCTGGATGCTTTACTCCAAACCCTGAAATCCTCAAGCTGCACCATTGTTGGGGTAATAAGAATCATCATTGATGTTCCGTAAGTATTCACAAAACATGTACTATGATCTTCAACAATGACCCAGTCAAGCGCTGCTCCAGGACCTGCCTCCCTCTGTCGACAGAGTCTTCGGGAAGAGCTTGCACGGTGGGGCCGTGGCAGCTGGGGACTTCATGGCGTCCAGGTGCTTCCTCAGCTTCGTGAGCGCTTGCACAGAGGCGAGAGATGTATTCTCTCAAGTGACAATCCCCTCCCGCTGATTATAGGTACCCTTTAGGCTTCCTACTAGGGTGTGGTTCCACAGGATTCGTCCTGCTTTGCCAGCGGCGCCATCCGGATCTACCCGAACCCCATGAACCTCAACCCATGAACCCCCAACTTAATGGCGAGATCCGCACTCTGATCCTTGCACAGAAATCTCGAAGGCCCAGGACCCACTCTGCATTGACAACTCCTTACTTCGCACCTTCGCACTGTCTACAAAGGCCCCCGGCTCTCAGATTCTTGGTCTTGGGCGGGGGAGGGGGGGTGGGTTCGTGGGGAGGATTGCGGATTTTGGACCTTGAGAAGCTTCAGCGCCTTCGGCGTTTTCTCCACTGCGAAACCACCGTCTATCCTGTCAAGCTCCAAAGCCTGCGCGATCTTAGGTACTTCAGGGCTTTTACAGACTTAGGGGGCTTCGGGCTACAAGGGTTTGGACAGCGGAAACCATACCCCGAGCCGACGGAACCTGTCTAAAACTCCTAATAGCAGCCGCCAGGTCGCCGGAACGTCGAGCCGGCATGCCCTGAGCACGTGGAAGGCTCCGTCGAGGTTGCAGTTTGCAGGTCTTACGTTGATAAGAGGCTTCTAGACTTCTAGACTGCCAGGGTTTATATGGCTCACTGGGCACATCGGCCTCTTAAGCTTGGAGTTGGCAATACTCGTCCCCCAAGATCACACGAACCCGGACTCTCGCCTCTCACTAGGGTTACGGACTCACAAGGTTTAAGGTCTTGAAGGGGTGATGAGGTGAGGGCTTCAAGAGTTGAGGCGGGTCCTGAAGGTGCATGACTCCACTCCACTCCCATGAGTCCTACAAATATCTACGCAAATCCATAGACAACGAAACGGCTCTGAAGCCTGAATCCAATGCCGGGCTAGTCGGAGTCCATTCTGGGGCAGAAGCTGGCCTTCCCAGAATCGAATAAGCTCCGGCATGGACTGCTCCCGCTGGAAGTACTGCCTTCGGGGGCGGAGAATCCCATGAAGCCCATGTCTCCTATGTCTCCAGCAGCCTGTCTTGAAGAAAAGAGTTGCATGGGAACGTCTCGCGCGCGCCTCATCCCGGCCGGGCGATGGTCGTTGACGTGCCCGGGGTTGATCGAGCCTCAGGGCTTGAAGCTGCAAGATTTCAACCTTCAAAGCCTTAAACCGAAGCTCAATATAAGCCCGTTCAACTCTCCTTCGAGGAATGCCGGTTGACGGTAGGGGGCTCTTTTGGCTTCGATCTGTCGGTGGGCCACCGTCCGTGGGGGGCGGCTGATCCCAGTAAAGGCTTCGGGTTTGAAGTTCAGGGCTTTGCGGCCAACCCTGCCCCGAGCCTTCAAACTTCACTCTGACCCGAACCACTGCCGAGTGGCAGTTGAACCGTTGGTTCCATTTCGGCCGTGCTCGCATGGAGGGTCTCGGAAAAGTGGCAGAGAGGTCCACGGTCATTGTCCCTGGCCGGTGCTGGGATAACCCTATTCCCTTGCCCCCTTCCCCCACTAAACAGCCCCAACCAAACAGATCCCTACTTGTAGGAGTTAATATTCAGCAGAGGTGACGAAACCCTCAACGGCATGCTTCCTTCCCTCCAAGCTGCCAAAGCTGGAGGGGCTGCCAGGGAGACTTGCTGGCGGAGCTGCAAGATTGGCTGCGCAGTCCTCGGACCCCAAAAGATCATTTTGTACTTGGGGCGGTGCAGGAGTAGGGCTGTTTAGATAGAGGGCTGCTAAGATAGAGGGCTGTTAAGATAGAGGGCTCCGGCTAGTGCTTCGATTCCCTGTTCAAGAAGTCGGGGTGCTCAGGATACATCCGGGAATGCGCAGCGACCGAAGAGCGGTTCTGTTTTATTCGTTTGTCGCTGTGTTGCAAAGGGAAAAAAGCTATGTGCCGGGGGGACCCCACGTTGGCCGCCTCACTTTCGTGCTGCCGGGGGAGTCTAAAGGCTGAATTCCATGGGTAGGCATCAACAAGGCCAACTGCAGGATGATGAAAATAAAGACTAGCTGCAACGTTAGGCTTCTTTGAGGTACATATAACTCTACCTAAAGCTACCCTTGAATCTCCCCGTGCCCCCTTCGCTGACAATCGGCTGGCGCTTGCTGTCGGATGTTCGGATCGTCGGACAACTGCAGCCAGCGGATGTACGTACCTTGCCGCGCAGGGATTGGTGCACCGTGCCAACCCTGAAGTTTCAGCTGCACCCGACTCAGGAGCTCATAGGCAGTTAGACAAGAAGGTGCCAATGAGGAGCAGATTGCTTAGCCCCGCCAGCAGTGCAACTTGACCTCATCCTAGAACAGAAGAAAACAGAACAAAGGAAGCTGCATCTGATCTTGAAACGATCGTCGCAGAGCTCCCCCGAATAAAGCCTTAATGTTGTGTAGGGTCAGGCTTGGGCCCCTTAAACCTCAAAGTAACCCCCCTGAGCCGTCGCCTAAACCCAATAGCTTCGCTGGGCTCACGTTGGTCGACGTACTCGACTTGGTTGACCGAGCCGGCAGCTGGAGCCACGAGGCGATCCCACTCCTGCCTGGTCGGAAAGCACCAAACTCGTGAAGAAAGTCGAGTGCTGCAACAAGGTATCTGTAAATTGAGGAGGGTTGCATGAACCATGGGTTTAATTAGTGCTTCAGGGGCTTTAGGGGTGTTTTTGGGGTGAGGCGCATCTCCAGCATCTAGGGTCTCTGCTGCGGCCACGCGGCTCGAACTCTTCCGTGCGCGGGTTGCGGCCAAGCAGAAATCCGAAGAGTTCCTACAAAGCGCGCGAAGTGCAGTTGGGCTACTGGCTCGAGAAATGTAAAGCTTGCGGTTCGGCACTAGACGAACAAACAAGCCCAGAGGCTCTCACCTGTCGACATTCAGGCCTGTCGTAGGTAGAGAAGCAGCATACTACCTTCAGCCAAGCATCGTGAAACTCATCCCGACCTATATAGCCGTTGCCATCCAAGTCGAACAACGCAAAGACCAGGTTTGCAGTGTGCCGAGCCATGTGGGGTCTGCGTAGGCACCGCATCAGAGACCGGAACTCGCGAAATGACAAAATCGCATCGTTGTTCAGATCTGCCTTGCGCAGGCACAGCTGGATGGCAGCATCAATATTCACCTGCTTTCGCGTATAGGTCGCCCCGCCAGTGGAAGTCCCTGTAATGGGGGCCACTGCTGCACGAACGATGCTGTGGAACTCCTGGCAGTCCAGCTCTCTGCTGCTGATGAAGCCATTTCTATCCCGGTCCAGCCGATTCCATAGCCGGGAGGCCCACTCGTCCAAGCTCTCGTCTTTACCAGCAAGGGCTCGGTTCCGCAGGTGCGGGTCGGAAAACCTCCTCTCTCTTTCGCGAAACTTCTCCACGAAGTCGTCCATTCCGAAAAAACGGGCGGATCAGCATGCAAAAATTCTTACAGCTTACTTTCATATAGCAGTGGCCCCTATCTGTGAAATGTGCATGGCAGTGGTAGAGTCTAGATTCGCCGGTCATGCCTAGCTCAACCCTATGATCGGCCCCTAATCATCAGGACCGGAGAGGCTGCCAGGGCAAACCTCGATCGGCTATTCAGTTGTTGCACGGATACAGGATTTCCGAAAAGAATCTGGGCAGTCCTCCAACTGCCTCCCTTTTACCTCGACCCTGCAACCGCCCGTACAATGAACTACAAACATCAACTTGGCTTCCACTGTTCTCCGTGACCTGAGCCGGAACAAAAAGCGGCGGGAGGTCGGCATCTGTCACATTCAGCCCGAGTCTTCCCTGCGTTGAAAATCGGGTGAAGGCTAGGGTTTCGGAGGAAACCGATCGACGGGGGACGGAACAGGAAGCGGCCTCCAATAGCCCTCCGCACTTTCGCGCTTTCAAGTTCGAGAAACCATGGGGGGGCCGAAGGACTAAGGACACCAAGATCTTCAGCCTCCAAGAGCCCCTCAGCACTTCACGCAAAGCCCTTTTACCCCCTTCTGCCACTTGCCAAGCACAGCTGCGCGTTCCCAAGGTCTTGTAGAGCTGTCAGCAGGCCCTGCCGGTTTCGAGCTCCGGACTAAGGCTCCAGGCTTCAGGGGTAAAGGGATTTAGGCCCGTAGAAGCCTACTTGGGGTGTTCGGATGTAGGCTGTGGGCTCTCAGCCTTTAAGGCTTCAAAACGAAGCATACAACCTTGAGGGGCCAGAATGAACCAACCCTGCAGGGGCGAGAAAACATATAACATAGCTTGGTAGGGACATATACTCTTCCCCTTCTTCCTTCCACACGCTCAATGGTCTCGTTCTGCAGCTGCTTCTAGACTCTTTCCAGACCTCTCTCCCAACTCCCCACATGTCCAAAAACTTAACGGGAAAAGATGTGCCACAAACAAACCCCCCATGGGCCTGAACGACCAGTCCTGGGCGCACGAGATTGGGTGCAGGATTAACGATCATGGTTTCCGGGTTGAAGGGGCTTTAGGGTTAAAGGCCTATTTATGGGCCCGTGTAGAAGAAGGACTGCTAACGCTGTACTCAAAATCACTATGAACCTCAAGTAGGGTTCCGCAGGGTTTCGGGCTGGGTGGGCTGTTGTTGCTTTCAGGATGCTTCCAGTGGGACTAGTTAAAAGCAGCGGCCGTCAAGGCGGGCCTTGCGCTGAACCTTCTCGAGTGGAAGGTCTATAGGCTTCAATTGAGGATACAGCAAGCTTCAAGGTACAGTAGGCAACTTGGCCGAGAATGCACACAGCAGCTCGGAAGAGCCAACCGCCTATCAATATCCCAGGAACCATCAACAAAGCACCTTACCTTCAGCGATTCGAAGCCCAAGCTGTTTTGACGCAGCGCCACTGGGGTGACGAAACTGCTCCTCAGAGTGCCTGCGTTCGGGCTTCAGGGTGCAAGCGGTCCGGCGTCCTTCTGTCGACGTCACAGTCCATATTGCAAGCCACGAAGACGTGATTCTCTCGAAAGCCCGCAAGCAGCTTCTCACTGCGAGACCTCCTTCTGGTTTCGGCCGAAGTCCTGCCTGCCCGAAGGTTGCCCCAATTGCTGCAGGGCGTTAGGGAGCTTAGGGTGCTTGGGCTTCAGCTTAGATCTTGCGGGCCCACAACTCATAATGACAAGAGGGCATTCAAGCCTCTGCAAGGCAGGGAACTTCCAGTATTCAGGCTTGATATTGTCTTCCCAGCCCGGACCCCTAAAACCTCAGTTGAAACCCCCGCTCCACCAAGCAAAAATGACAGTATTCTGACAAGGGAGGATCCTGTTTCTTCAGTTCTGCATGCGGATCGTCGGATCCCAGCGGAACCCAAGTCCGCCAGGGACGAAGACACCCGCGCCCGAGGTGTCGGCAGCCTTGGGGAGTTTCGGCCCAACCCTCTTCATGCGCAAGTTGCGGGTTTAAGGTCTCAAGGTTGACAGTTTACAAGATTTTACAAGTATAGGCTCTAGAGGTGTCGGGCTGACAGGTTTTGGGGCGTAGGGGACGGGATCGTTGAACCGTTGAACCGTGTAGGCCGGCCTTCTTGTTCCGGGGATCGTTTGCTGTTGCTTAAGGCTCCAGGCCCACAACCCCTCATGATCTACTCCCGAAGCCTAGAAGGGCACCGGGTCATGTCCTCTAGACCTCCGTTTCTATGAGTTCTGTGTATCCCGAACATCCCAGAGCCTCGAGAAGCTCCTGGGTAACGACGTCGGGGAGACCAAACCTTACCGTGTGGTGCAGGTTTGGGGTTCTAACATCTGTAGAGGGTTTAGGTAGTATGGTTCTTCGAAGGTTCAACTAGAAGGTCTAGAGTCTAGGGGCCCTTAGGGCATGGGGACAGACATTTGGGCGGAGTGAATCGACCACTGAGGAGAACCTTGTCGTCCTTAACAGTGGACCCTCTTGTCATGCCACCTACCGAAGGCACTTGCACCAACATTCAAGCATCTCACGTCCTCAAGATTTTCTCCCTAAACTCTTTCTCGGAAACTCACATCCAACATGCAAGAATCAACTCGTCTAACAGACGGCGAAGCCAGGGATCCTCGTAACCCTAGCACACATGTTGAAAGAATCCTTAGCTACCGCTGGGCCTCTACAGTTCACAGGGGTGTCACCACTACTTTTTGCTACGCTAAATCTGTTCGGCAAAGCAGTGTTTTCGGGCTTTGGACAGGGGTGCGGACAGGTGCGCAAGTGACGTCTCTGCTTCCTGCATCCGATCCCAACTAAACGAGCCCAGAAACAATATCCGCCAGCACTCTAACCCGAACCTGACAATAGACCAGAAATTTCGCAAGCTGAGCCATGAAGAATAATCCTGCACCACAGGTTCTCGTAAGCAACACCTACAAACAACTTGAGCAAACCTGCGCGTGCAGGGTTTTAGGTTGCGTGGCATCCTGTCCAAGAGCAACCTATGCTGCACTGCGCAAACCTAGGCGAAATGTGCTGCATGCATATAGATATAGTTTTAAAGAATCTGGCAACATCCGGAAATACCTTGGCCCAGAGGCTCAAAGACAGCTGGGGGGTGGGGTAGTTCAACCAGTGTGCGCGGAACGAACGAAGTGAGAACGGAGGTGACATTAAGGGACCTGCGTGGCCGGGAGACCGGAAACGAAGACGCGTAACCCATATGCTATGTGGTGCCCGACAACTTGCACATCTCACGCGCTTGGAACCGCTAGGGATGCCAGGTTGGGCCTGGAGCTTCCCTCGAGACTCTCAGACATCGCTTCCACCTGCAAACCTACGTGTACGCAAGCCTCCGCGGAGAAGAGACTACGAAAAGCTTACGCAAACCGACAGAAGTCGAGGCAACAACCTACGCGGACCAGGACCGAGTGCACATTATGTTGTCAACTCCTGTTTTGTCAACTTTCAAGGATCTCGCGCGGCGATCCGTGACCGCAAACCCCCTCCCCTACCCGCATTTTGAAGGTTGTGACCCTAAAGGCCCCAAAGTGAGATCCTTCCCTCTTACGTCACCTCGACGGAGCCGGGGCACGGTGGGGAAAACGGCCGGAAGGCTTGGACGGTCGTGCGGTGCCTGCAGCGGAATTGGAGGGTCCCTGAACTGCTCTTCGCCCCCTGACTCCAGGTGGACCCAAAGAGATCCACAGCTGAAGCCTGTAGAAGTTGAGGGAGGGGGGTGGTGAGGCAACCCAACAAGCCTGAAACCCAGACCCAACTTGGCCAAGGCAGATTTAAGACTTTGAGAAATCAGAGCCGCAACTTACCTCCTCACCCACAACCCTTTGGTAAGGTCAAGCTGAGGCTCATACTGGCTGAGGGGCTTAACAGCTTTGGGCGTTAAAGATGGTGTTGCAGTACCCTTAAACGTGACTTACACTTCACCGAGGTGAGCCCTAAACCCAATAGGGCCTAAATCGGCCTAAATCTCCTGGTCATGAAGTCATGAAGTGCGGCAAAAGGCACAAGATCCGCAGACCCTGCTTCGCTTTGTCCGCGTGTGCCTCGAACGGACTTGCAGTTTAGGGCCCCAAATCCCCAAATCCGGAGCTTGAGGGAGGGATTGGAGGGCTGGCACCTGAAAAGGTGTGGCACCACTTGGCAGTGAAAAAAGTCGATCTTTTTGTCCATGCGCCTTGTCTAACATTTGAGCCCAAAGCCCAACATCAAAGCCCAACAAGGAGGAGATCTGTGAACCGGAGATCTTCAAGACAGAACGAACGATTTAGGCATCAGGGCTCAGAGGGCTTACAAGTAGGGCAAACCTGCCATCTGAACCTCATGCACTCAAGCCTTTGTCATTGCAACTTAGTACGACCAAGTAGTACCTGAACAAGGGGTACATAAGGGCACCAAGGACGTCAGAAGGACTGTACAAGGTGCAACTGTAGCTAGCCCCCCAGCTAAGTCTCACTAACACCCAACCCTACAGAGCCTCCGGAGTGGCCCTGTGGGCAATGGCCCAGTTGTCAATGAAGATGCAATCTCCTTCTTGATATGGGTAGCCTTAGGTAGCTGTGGGCCGCCTCTTCGGGTTCCTTTTGATGACGTTTAGGCCGACATGTGTCGGGGAAAAGGGCTCCCACCAAAGGGGTCCCAATATAGAACAACCCACAGCAGTTGACATAGTTTGAGGGAGTGATGGCAACGAAGCCTAAGCCAGAGACCGTTCACCGAAGAACGCTGGACAACTTCTCGGTTTCTCTCTGATTGTCAGATGATTGGGGCGGCACCGTACACATGTGTGCTAGGTCGGATTCAATGGCAAGGGACCCCTAAAGGAATCCTGAGATGCACAAAGGTAACTGGGTTCACTGTTCAACTGCAAGACTCTTGCTTGGAAAAGGTGGCTTGCCTGTCCATGGAGCCCACGAAACCCTCAGCCCTGACCCTGTCCAGAGTCTAGATTGAAGAACTGAGTTGCTGATGCCATAGTTTCCACCTCGTTCGGGGAAGCCCGCGTTCAGGAGCTCGTTGTATGTCCGGCAGACATCTGAAATCTCCTGGCTTAGATACGGGTTGGCGCCGTAGAGCTACCCTGAAGCCCGATATTCCTGAAACTAGATAGAGAAGCCCCATTCCGAGCCGAATACAACCACAAAACGAATCGCCTATCTCAACATGTGCAGGACCTCTGCCTAATTCGTAATGAAGGCTCAGAGAACGAAAGGCTGCTCAACAGATGCATCGCGTCGAAGGGCAAGAGTTGGCCGCTCATCGCGATCCCGAGAACCAGAACCCGAAACCCTAAACCCTAAACCCTAAACCCTAAACCCTCGGCCCTGAACGATGTCGAGCCCAGGCTTTGGGGAGCTTCAAGGCTGGCTCTTGAGCATCCGAGACGTCGAGGACGGCAGTGGAGGGCTTTGGGCGCTTTATGGCTTTGAGCATAGGGTTCTGGAAGACTTCGCCCCTTAAACCCCCGTCTCTCCCTCCTCCTAAACACAACCCCTTGTAGTCCTGGAATCTCTGAAGCCAGATTTCGGGTTTGTGCTGTTGACATGTTCCATGGCTCTTTCGCTGAAGCTCGGCTTAAGAGGGCTCATGAGACATGAGACGAGCCTCAGCCCTACATCGTTGTTTCGGGGCTGAGAGCCGTCCTCCTCTTCCAGGAGCCGAAAGGAGTTGGGACCTTCCGCCTCAACGGGCTTAGGGCTTAGGGTGTAGGGTTTAGGGCTTATTGGGGCTTAGGGTGCAGGTTTAGGGTTGCGAGGATACCGGACACCAGCCCGAGGTGCAGGTTGATGGGCAGACGGGCGTGATGGCTGCGACCGGTAGCTATGGCCCCGCATTCAAACATCCGAGCCCCGAAATGCCAAGCCTTACATGGCACTCTTATTCAACTTCGGAGGCACAGTGATCCATTGCAGCCTGAAGGGCTCAGCTTAAGGAGCTGCGGAAGCTCTAGAGCGCGGCACCCTGCATCCTAAACCTCGACCTTTCTCTCTCTAAATTCCGAAGTCCTGACGGGCCTTCTCCAGAATGCCCCCGGTCATCCCGAGATGGAGGTACCTGAGGTTTGCATGGAAGGGCTTCAAAGTGCTGGCTGCTTCAGAAACTTCAGAACACGTGCTGAGGGGACAAGTTCGGAGCCCCCTACACACAGCCCCTCCCAGAGCTCCTGAAGAGCTCTCTCTGGAGGCCTAGACACAGAAAGCCCAGGAGGGATCGAGCTTCATAGACCTTGGAGCTGTTGGCCTGGTTCAAGGTTTAGTTTATGTCTATGTGTTCAGCGGTCTTTTTGGGTCTACTTCTCCCTGAACCGATCCACCCTGAACTCCCGGGCAAGGCACACAGATCGACGGCCAGAGATGGGGTGGTCGTGAACCATGGGATGTAACACTCCGGAGGTGGCATTCACAGACACCAACCTTCGGGAAGGATGCCCCTGAACCCTGAGGTGTGAGGGATGCAGGGCTAGTGGGGGCTCATGACCCGTGATGTCTCAAGCTTGGTCTTTATTGGCCGGGCAGGGGTGTTCTGCATGTCGGTTTTGCTGACCATAGTGAACAACGGCCTCACGACTTACATGGATCTACGGGGTCGATCTGCGTGTGATGCACTAAGATTTACAGCAGAAGAGGAGATGCTAGAGGCCCCCAAAATGTCCCCATGATTTGGATCAAACGTCGAGCAGTCTAGCAGAGTCTAGGGCTTAAGTCTTGCAGGCATAAACTGAAGGGCTGAGGGCTGCAAGGCTTAACTGACTTATTGGGCTTAGATCAGTGTAAGCTGAAGGTTACATAGCCTCAGGCCAAGTGACCGCGACCAGTATCTCTGCTTCTCGGCCGGCAAGGCATCGAATGCAGCCCCCTTGATGAAAACATGGAGACGGAGGGTTCAAACTGTGGGTCTGTTTTTGTTTTGATTTAATCGTTTTGCTTTGCTATTTCTTCGGTTCACCAGCGTCAATTTTTCTGCCAGATCTGCCCTCCTGAATCCAAAAACAAACTTAAACTGCAAATGCCCAGAACCCACATTTTGACAGGCCGGAATGGCTTGCTTCTGCGAGCACAATGAAGAACTCCTAAAGGACTCTGCAAGAAAAGGCAGCCTGGTGCACGAACTGCGTGTTGCCACCCTGCTCGGGCACGCGGACGATGTGGTATCCTACGTGAGAGAAGACTCCCACCTGACGATGACATGGGGCATGTGGGATTGGGTGTGTCACGTGGAGTTACTTGGGGAGCAGAGGCATGGACAATTTATACACCAAAGGGTTGTGCAGAGTAGTGGCATGGGGCTACAAGGCAATTATCTGACAACTCGCTTGGCACGGTGAAGACTCTTGCTTGGCTTGCTTGCCTGAGGCTTGAAAGAGCTTTGAGACTTCCCGCCTCGAACGACCCATCGTTGTGCCACTGTGGCCCAACCCCGACGATCCCGACAGAGCTGTCGTTGCTCAGGCGGAAGATGTGGCGATTCGGCGCCTGCGGGTGGACCCCATGGGTGCTGTGGATCTTGCGGCCGCCCCAGAACTCGCTGGCTCGCACCTGCTCCTTCGTATGTTGTCGGGAGTATGCGTGATACGGTATCGAGGACCATGATTTGTGAGGACTCGAAGATGGTAGATGAAAACTCAAAAGGCTTCAAGGTAACATGTTGCATCTGTTACAGCATGTCACATCATGTTCCCAAGAACTACAAGGCTCATCCCCAGAGAGGACGCCCTGGTCTGCAAAAACAAGGAAGCCGCGGCGCGCCATCTCCTCCTCCAGCACGCGCCGCACCTCCGGTGTGGGCTCAGGCCCTCGGAGGTCCAAACCCCGAACGCGGGCACCCATGGGCTCAATGGCCGTCAGGGAGATTCCATGCTGCTTCAGGAGCTCGGCACTGGATTCGTGGAGCGGCGGCACGCCCGCCATGGAGGCCAAAGAGCCGGCAGCGCGGCGGAGGCGGAGTGGGAGCCGCCGAGTGGCGATGACCAGGGGCAAGGAGGCCACGGTGCAGATGTTCAGTGGGCGAGTTGCACGAAGGCGAAGCTTGGGACCAAGTGCGAGCTTGCGGCTTCCAGTACCAAGACTCCCACAATGCTGGCCCAAGGACCCACCAAGTTCCATGGCAGGTCCACACCACAAACCTGTGCACGCGTTTGGGATGTTGGCGCGTTTGATTCAGGAACAGCCGCGGCCCGGTGGAAGCCTCTCTGCCTTGAGGGCGAGTTCGGGATTCGGTCTTTAAGGACTTTAGGGTTTGCCCTAAACACCTAGGTATAGCCTATAGCCAAAATGCCGGAGAACCCCCAAGCCCAAAAAGCCCCAATCAACCCCAGTTTAAAAACAGTCCCAAAAAAAAACAATTAACCCCAATACCACCAATAAGCCCAATCAAGGCGATGAAGGCCTACACGCGCCAAAACGCCATCATAAACCCCAATAAGCCCCAATAAGCTCCATTAAGCCCCAAATAAACCCCAGTAAGGAAAGTCCCAGTACAAGCCTTCTTAAACCGCAATAAATCCGACGATACACCACCCCCCAAAAACCCCAAGAAGGCCCAGTAAATCCCAATCTGGGGACCAGGCCGCTGGAGCCCCCGGCCTCACTGGCCCTGAGCGTGACTGCGAGCACCTGCAGTTGCTCCATGGGGGCAGATGCTCGATGGGGCAGTTGCTCCATGGGAGGCAGGTAGCTCATAGGATCTTAAAGGGTTTTCTGCACCTTTTGTTCTCTCCTCAACAGCGCATTCGCTGCGGACCATGGCTTTTGCTCGCGATTCAGCGCTTTGGACGTCTGGGCTCGCGAAATGCGCAACAGTCGTTGCAGTGGGCCTTCTGGGCTCACATGGTCTCTCAGTGTTTGCAGTCTACGCTGACAGAACAATGTATATATATATATATATGATATATATATATATATATATATATATATATTACAAGTAGGTTTCAACGTACCTGTGAAGGGTTGGTATATGGGGCTCCCTGGATTAGTACTTCTAGGCCTGGGCTTCACGCATGGAAAACCTGAACCCGAAACTGAACCCTACGTGACACAAGGCTAAGGGTGCCAGGCAGTTCTGGTCTGCTGATCTGGGAAGGACAGCACATCTTGACAGCGCCGTTTTGCAGTAAGGGGGGGCACGTCTGAAAAGGAGGGTTCTTAGTAGAGCTTTAACTTCTGGGGATGCTGAGAGTGATTCAAGGATTTTTTGAGTGAGGACGAACACCGGTTAAGACAAATTTCACGCCCTAAGCTAAAACCCTAGTAAGAGCATGAACCCCGAAAGACTACAAACACCGTGAAGCCTGGCAATCAAGTCTAAACCCTGAACGTGTAAACTAGTGTAAACACTACAAAACCGATCCCAGTCATCCTTGCGCCCAGACATTTATCACGCCTCAGAGTCGATCACTGGAGTTGAAGCCGTGACGCACTCACCTGGGTAGAGAAACCCTAAACTCTAAACCGCAAATTGTCAGGATCTTTTTGAGGGAGAGAAAACCACCAGGAAGAAACCACTAAACCCCCAATCTGCTAGAGGTAGCGCGAAAAGGCCAACACTCTATAGCACGTGAATAGGAGCCTTTTTGCATGTCTTTCCTGTGGCCTGACATCCTGCCTTATGGCCCCTGATAAGTTCGACTCCTTCCGCCCGAGGGCCACCCACTGATTTGGTGCTTAAGCGGCTTTGGTTCGGAGCTTGGGTTTTGGGTTTGGAATGGGCGCCCGTGTGATCGTTCGAGACATCCGCTCTATCGGCTTGAAACACGGAGCCAAGGCTAAGATTCCAATGGGTGTACACCTCCTCCCTGTTCTCATATGCAAACCCAAGAAACTTGCTACCCCTAAACCCCAAGCCCGAAAATCTTTGCTCCATGTACAAGGTCTCCGGCTTTGGAGGCTGTGGACCATGGACACCGCCTCAAGTCGGCCATTGCAGTCTTGTCGCACGCTTCTGGGAATGTAGGGTTTTCAGTGCTTAAGACTACTTGAATCTTTAGAGTTCAGGATTGAGGGGCTGCGGCCTCAGCTTGCGAAGGGAAAGACCTTCTACAAGAATGAGGTTGAAGGCTTCCCTACGCTATCATACGGTGCTTCATGCAATAAACAAGGTAGAGCTCAAAATTAAGGCTTTCAGCCTGTGGTGCTTCGCGAGCCCTACGTTGTTCGATCCCTTTGCCGTGAAAATTGTGGGCAGTCTTTGTGGCCACTGGATTTGAGGTGACACAGGATAGAACGCAATGCAAGATGCAACATGCTTGACTCTTCGACCAGAAGCCACAGCTGGTCTTCACCAAACTTCAAGAACCATCAGCACCTGGAAATGACGTATGCTGAAACCCCTTTGAAGTTACAGATTGACTGCATAGACGTACATTCCAGTAAGTTTGAAAGCACCCGTTTGCCGAAAGACGGACGACCCTGAACCCGAAAAGTGCAAAATCCACGTATAACTGCTACAATAATCTTCTGGGATCCCGTACCCATTTCCATGTCGATGAACGGTCGCACGCAGTTGCACAGGCCGAGCCGCTTGCCTCAAAGAGGCGAAAGGGCTTCTAGGCTTTAGGGTTGAGATTTTTTTCGTAGCCTTGGTGACGTCGTGCGCATCGACCCTTTAATGCGCCAGCACAACTTGCAACTTTCCTTGCCTGCGCAGACACACACCCACACACACAGAGAAACTTAAAGCGTTCTAATCTCAAAATACGACCGACCTGGGAAAAACAAACTCCCTCATGCAGAACGAAACATGAGCCCCACTCTCATTGGCCCGAGCTTCCCATCATGCTCTCATCTAATCACTAAACATTTGTTTCTTGCATGCACAGACAAAAAAGTACATGTATATGCACACGCAAGACAAAGGCAAAAACAGGGACAGGGATTGGTACAGGCACAGGGACAGAGACTACAACGACAACGACAACGACAACCACAACCAGAGCCACCGCCACCACAACCACCACCACCACAACAACCACCGCAGCAACAACCACCACAACAGCAACCACAACAACATCCACAACAACAACCACAACAACAACCACAACAACAACCACCACAACAACAACAACAACAACAACAACAACAACAACAACAGCAGCAACAACAGCAACAACAACAACAACAACAACAACAACAACAACAACAACAACAACAACAACAACAACAGCACCAGCAGCAGCAGCAGCAACAACAACATTTCATTTCATTTCATTTCATTTCATTTCATTTCATTTCGGACGCATGTGCGGGTCATGTCCCACACCTTGGCGGGCATCGAGGGTGAAAAAAGTGTCTCCTATCTGTGCAGGGCCTGGTGTCAGTCCGCTCTGACGTCTGTACAGTCGAGATCTGTGCAGACCAGGTCGCTTCTTGCTGCGAGATTGGTTATCTGCCTCAGCTGGCAAGTCTGCAGAGGTGCAACGTATGTTGGTTTTTCGGCGCTCTAGGCTGGCATGTATGCAGGCAGCAGGTGCATCGTCTTTTGGCCTTTCATGCAGCTGCTAGCAGAAGATCTAATGAAGGTTTGAAATCTGACAGGCTCAGAATGGGATTGCGTCGTCAGCGGTGCTGCTGCTGCTGCTGCTGCTGCTGCTGCTGCTGCTGCTGCTGCGCAGGAGGTAACCTCACTCGCACACGGGTAGCATTCTCACCGCTCCGTGAGGAGAGTCTAAGATAGCTGCTTCGCGAGCTAACAAGTGAGACTTGAGTTGTCTGCGATGCAGGAATGTGAGCATTTTGTATGCCACTGCGAAAGATTTGTGCTCTTCATAGATGTCTTCATGCAGCGGGTTGATGATTTTATAGAAGCGAAGTGCCATGCTGCTCTGAAAGTCCTGGCTGTAATCTGCCGGATTCGGGGGTCTGGCAGTAGCCCGGAAGGCATTGTTCACCTGTCGTAGTAGAGCGTCTTCAAAGATCTCTAGGAGCTCTCCTCTCGAGACAACTTCACCGGAGACTGCGGAGCGAACCCAGTTGACTTCTTCCTCTGTGATTTCTCGAAGAAGCCACCTTCTGTACATGACCATATCTTCGCGTATTTGATCCTGGTAGTCCAGAAGAGCTAGTAGGAGCCGCTGAAGGTGCTTGTCATAGGGCAGGCCGCTGAGCTGGTTTTCTTGTTGCTGAAAACGCCAGCCATTCTTTACTGCGGACGCCACATCAGAGGTGGTTCTGGCCGTTTTGAGATACTGTTGAACTCGGTATAGAGTGGAAGCCCGCTTCAGAGCCTGGAGGTCGAAGAAGTGCAGATCCATCCGGTGGGTGTCCTGAATTTGTAGGCTGGGAGGGAAGTAGGCAAGTCCTTGTCCCGGTGGGTGTGAAGGCTGTGACTGCTCGATGCCTGATAGGAGACGTGGTATGGCGGATCTCATCAGGAGATGGATGTGCGCTATGGACGTGGCAATCATGAAATTGATTTCTCCTCGTCCAAAATGACGCGTAAGATAGATCCGAATGCGTCGAACAGTGGAGTCCGCGTCTCCTAACTGAAAAGAGTTATGTCCCAGGCCTTCGTTGGTGTAGTCTCTGATCGCCTGAGAGGTGAAGACGAGCTGACGCTCGTTGTGATAGGACAAGCCATCATCAAGCGGTTCAGTCAACATCATTTCGGCATGCTTTCGCTTCCTGGACAGCTGCCTGGATGTCGTGGGAGGGATGTACAGTCGCAGGTTTCCCATGCGCCAGTTTACTTTCTCCGTGAGCAGTTTCATGAAGCTGCAGACGCGGGATGCAAGTCTGACTTGGCGATCAGGATGCGTGATTGCATCGTCTGCAGGTATTCTGAAACCCGCCATGTCCAGGTTATTGACCCAAGCTGCTTCCGGGGCAGGAATAGGATACACCGGAAGTGGCATGAACAAGGAAGCACCTCCACGGTCTGTTCCCTACTTAGGATCGGGTGTGATCCCTCCATTTTCCACTTGTGTTCTCGTCCAGGAGGAGACCTCACTCGAGCCGCTGCTGTGAGCCTTCAGGAAGGAGGGTGCAACGCAAGTGCTGGCTGATCGGCGACCCGCAGGCTTCTTGTTTTCTCCAGAGCCTTCAGGTCACGTTGCGTGGATATAGGAGGAGACCTCACTCTTATCGTAGCAAAGACGCTGGTGAATGAGGCTATTCTCGAAATTTTTCCTGGAGCAGAGCTTTCAGGTGACGACGGCGATAGCTCGTGAGAAGTGTAAGCGCCACAGCAAAGTTCTTGTAATCATCGTAGACAAGGTCATGTAGAGGTGACATAATTGCAAGAACGCCACGTGCCTGATCGAGATCGCCTTGATCTCCCCCGTGTCGTCGATTGATCTGTTCCCACAGGCTTTCAGCAAAGTGGAGATGGATGGTGTCACGTGGGATAAGTTGGTGGACGACAAGGTGTCGTATCCATTGGTAGTCTGCCTCTTGCAGGGGTGTAGACAGCCAGAGACGATACATTGCCAAGATTTCCATGAGGGTATCCTGGTAGTGTGGAATCATGGGAGCAAGCCGTGAGTGATATTCATCGTAGTCGAGGTGGGAGAGTTCTCGTTCTTGTTCAAGGAACTCCCAGCTTTCGAGTACTTGATCGCTTGCTGACGTGGGGGAAGAGGCACTGACCCAATAGACCGCTGTAGACAAAATTTTGTCTACATAGTTAAAAACAAAATTTTGTCTACAGTAGACAAAAAATTGCCTACAATAGACAAATTTGTCTACACGATTTGTCTATTTAGACAAAAATTTGTCGACAAAATTTGTCTACAGTAGACAAATTTTGGACAAAAAAAATGTCTACAGTAGACAAATTTTTGTCTACAATAGACAAATTGGGCGGGGGGCACAACCCGAAATTTCGACGAAGTTTCGGGTAAAGTTCGGGTTACCTTCTCCGGAGTTTCGCCGAAGTTTGTTCGAAGTTTGGAAGGGCCAAAGTCGAAGTTTGGAAGGGTCGAACTCGAAGTTTGAAGGTTTCAAATTCGAACTTTTCAAAGGGCTCGCAGGAAAAATCCCGAAGTTTACCCAAAGTTTAACCCGAAGTTTACCCGAAGTTTAACCCGAAGTTTACCCGAAGTTTATCCGAAGTTTGGATAGACAAAAGTGACCAATTTGTCTACGTAGACAAGTTTTTTTGTCTATTTTTGATGCAAAATTTTGTTAAACAAATGATCTACGTAGACAAATTTTTGTCTACAAAATTTGTCTACGTAGACAAATTTGCAGCATCATTTTGTCTATTTTTTTCAGCAGTAGACAAATTTTCAAATTTGTCTATGTAGACCAAAAATTTGTCTACAGTAGACAAAGACAAAATTTTGTCTACAGCGGTCTATTGGGTGATGGTCCTGAGCTGCTGTAGAAGACGCAGCTGGATTGATGCTCTTGTTAGAGTTCGGAAGTCGTAGTCCTCCAGATCCAGCTGGCTGCCACGATTCCTTTACTCTCGGGGGAGTGCCCTGCGTCAAATTTCGTTCTTGGGCAGGAGTGAAGTCTGACCTTAGGAGAACTTTAGCATGAGCGAGAGTTCGGAGCAGAACATCTTCCAGATCCTGAGGTGAGAACTTCCTGGTGAGATAGCGCCAGGCCAACGTGCATGCAGAACATCAAAGGTGCGAAAAGATGGAGAGCCGTCACCATCATTCGTGTAGTTCCTTATCATGAGGGAGAGAAAGATGATTTGCTGCTTGTGTAGTGGCCCCAGAGAGGGGACCTCGCTTGCTGTCGACAGCCCTTCGTCCACATGCTTGCGTTTGCCTGCCAATAGGCGCGGCCGTTCGTCAGTGCATCGACTTGTTTGTCTTCCCGCTCGCCAGCCCAGATGTTGTTCCAGGCGGCAGACAAAACTGCAGAGCCTTGATGCCACTCTTGTGCTCCGTTCTGCGGAGATGTCCAGCACGTCTTCGTCCGAAAAAGTAAGCATTCTCGGTGTGACATCTGCTCTCTCCGTTCCAACTGTAGCTGCCTGCGCCTTCCGGCTCTGGGGGAGATAGACCGGAGTCGGGACAAAAAAGACTCCAGCAGGATTTCCAGCACGACTTCGCGGGGTAAGAGAGGCATTGCACCGGAGATGGCCAGGAGGCGACCTCACTCGGCTGCGTTCCGGATTTCATCGAGCCAGACTTCAGTTATTTGAAGTTGAGGTGCGTGCATGCGAGAACAACAACAGCAACCGAGCATCTGAGGCATAGGCTGATGCTCAGGCATTGCGATAAGGTACAGACCTCGGAAATGATGAATTCAGAAGGGCAGATCAGAATGTGCATGGAAAGCGTGATTGAGCCGCGAGATATGTAGGCACTTGATCGGAGCATGGAGTATTTTTCCATCGTGGTCTGGTTTTCAAGAAGTGGCAGGTTGAATCTGCCAAGTCTGTAAAAAGTTTGTAATTGGAGTCAGGAGGGAACCTCACTTGTAATCAGCAGATAGCGCTGTAGCCGATAGGCCCGCTGCCTTCACAATAGCATGGCGGAATACTGCCCTCCTCTCTGGCGTAAGCAGCTTGAAGGCTAGAATCCAGGGGACCGATTGATCTATCACTTCATTAGACAGAGGGGAGATTATG